GTATTAGTTTAAGTAGAATATTCTAAAGCTTTATAGCTACTAGTTATTATAGTACTACCGCCGATTAGCGGTTATTTTATATATATATATATATAAAAAAAAAAAAAAAAAAAAAAAAAATAAGTTTAAAAGAATAAAGCTTCTAGTATTAGTATTATCTACTACTTTATTACGAAGCCGTAGAATATATATATCTAGACTAGTAGATTATAACTTTTTTTTCTTTAAAAATATAGTATTCTATCTCTATAGATTTATTTTTATTATTTTATAGAAACTATTCTTTATAGTCCTACGCCTCTAGACTAGCTATTAGAGCTACTAAGTCTTTTAAATTAGTTATACTATTATTACTACTAGATCTACCGCCTCTATTTACTATTCTTACTATAGTTTAAGATATATAAAGGCTACGCCTCTATACTAGATTATTTCTATTTCTAATAGAGAATAGCAAATTAAGCTTATTTCTTAAGAAAATTTATAATTTCTTATAAATATTCTTAAAAAGAATATTCTTATAAAGATTTTATAGATTATAAGCTTCTCTATTAATATACTTATACTCTAGCTACTACTTTAAAACTAGATCCTAAAGATTTAATTAATTTTTATAGAATAATTTATTACTCTAAAAGATTTCTTTCTCTAGTACTATTTAATTAGCTAGAATCTAATAATAAGTAGCTAAATAAAAATAGTACTAGAAAGAGAAAGCTAGAATAATCTTCTACTAAATACTTATAAAAAGAAATAGTAGCCAGTCGCTATAATTATCTAGCTAAAAGATAATACTAGAAAACTTTTAACTAGTATAGAATTAATCTTAGAAGATAAAATTTAAGGTTTTCTAAAATAGCTAAAAAAGAATTTAACTTCTTTAGAAAATTTAGAAGAATTTTAAGGTTTCTCTATAAATTTAGCTATAGAGAACTAGCCTAACTTTTAAGTTATAATATTTTTCTAGCTTATATTTAGATTATAGGTATAGAAAGAAGAAGAAGAAATTAATTTTATATAGTTTTACTTTTAGATATTTAGGTATTCTATTTAGTTATTTTTTTTAAAAAAAAATCATATTTTAGTTTTTTTTAATATATGTATATTTAGTTTTTTTTAATATATGTATATTTAGTTTTTTTTAATATATGTATATTTAGTTTTTTTTAAAAAGTATATTTAAGAATTGTTTTAGAATTTATTAAGAATATATTTCTATTTTTTTTTTAGAATATATTTAAGAACTTTTTAGAATTTATTAAGAGTATATTTTAATTTTTTCAAGAGTATATCTTTTATTTTTCTAAGAGATATATTTCCTTTCTTAAGAATATATTTTTTTTAAAAAAATATCTTAGATTTTTTAAGATATATTTAGTTTTTTTTAAGAGTAAATTTACTTTTTTTTTTTAAGAATTTATTTAATTTTTTTAAGAGTATATTTATTATTTATAGTAACTTTTTTTTAAAAAAAAATATTACTAAGATATGTATATTTTCTTAAATCTATTTCTAAGATATACGCTTTTTTTTATAGAATTTCTAAGATAAATATATTTTTTTAATTTATTTTCTTAGATATATATATAATTTATAATTTGCTATAATATATTTATTTATAAGCTAAATATATAAAAAAAAGTTTATATCTTAGAGAGACTTTTTCGATATATATATTTTAGAAATACTATATATATCTTAGAAATTTTACGAAAGAAATTTATACCTTAGTAAATAGCCGTTTAGTATGTTTTAGAAATATATTGTTTAAAAACTATATATCTTAGAAATATTTTTTAGAAAATATATTCTTAATAAATCGAATATATTCTTAAAAAAAAAATTGAAAATACTCCTAAAAAATATAGACTTAGATAGATATATTTAAAGAAAATATATATTCTTTAAAAGTATATTCTTAAAAAATCGAAATAGATTTTTAGAAAATATATTTTTTTTAAGAAAAAAAAAGTAAAGTATACTCTTAAAAAAGCGAAATATATTCTTAAGAAAAAAAAAAGAAATATATTCTTAAAAAAAAGTAAAATATATTTATAGAAAACTAAGATATTCTTAAGAAAAATAATTTCTAAGATATATATATTTTTAAATTTCATTTCTAAGATATATATTTTTTAATATATTATTATATTATATCGAAATATATAGAAATGTTTAAAAAAAATATCTTAGAGAGACTTTTTTTTTAAATATATATATCTTAGAAATTATACGATAAAAAATATATATCTTAGTAAATAGCCCTATAAAAAAAGTATAATCTTATATTTTAAATATATTTAGTAAATTACTTTTTTAAAACTAAAAGCTAAAATAACATATATAATAAGTAATTTACTACTAAAACATCTATAAATATATAAAGTAAAATAGTTTTTTTTTAAAAAAAGTAAAAATATTTTTAGCTATTTACTAAGATATATATATATAGTTTCCAAAATAAGTATACTATTTCTAAGATAAATTTATCTAAAAGGTCTCTTTAAGATATATATACTTTTAATAGCTATTTACTAAGATATATACTTTTTTTTAATATTTTCTATTATATATATACTATTTCTAACTCTAAGATATATATATTTAAAAAGAAGATAAAATATATTCTTAAAAAATAGTTTTTAAAAAAAATTACTAAGATATATATATCTTCTTAAAATATTTCTAAGATATAAGTAAGTTACTATATATATATTTTAGAAATATTATACGGCTATCTACTAAGATATATATATATATATATCTTAGAATTTATTTAAAAAAATATTTTACTTTTTTTTTAAAAAAAAAAATAGATACCCGACTCTTTTAAGTTTTTCGCCTTTATTTTTAGGATATAGGGTATTACTATAGTAATAAGGCCTAGAGCCCCCTAAGTTAGGTACTCTAGGTCTAAAAAGACGTTTAAGGCTAGGGCCGTTACTAAGGTAGTACCCCCTATACGTATCTAATCCTAAAAAGGAAGGTAGAAAACTTAAAAGAGTCGGGTATCTATATACTTCGCTTTTTTTTAAAAAAAGAATTTTTTTTCAAGAATATTTTTTCTTTAAAAATACTTTTCGCTTTTTTAAAGAGTTGTTTTTTTTTTTTTTTTTTTTTTTTTTTTTTTTTTTTTTTTTTTTTTTTTTTTTTTTTGAGAATATATTCTTAAAAATAATTTCTAAGATATATTGTCGAATTTTTTCTAAGATATATATTTTTATAATATATTACAATAGATCGAAATATATTGAAATATTTTTTTTTTTAAAAAAATATAAATCTTAGAGAGACTTTTTCGATATTTATATCTCAGAAATATTATATATATCTTAGAAAATATTTAAAGAAGTATATATATCTCGGTAAATAGCCGAATATTATATATATATAAGAAACTACTTAATATATATTTATGTATCTTAGTAAATAGCTGAAAAAATAATATCTTAGAGAGACCTCTAACACTATATACAAATTAGTATTTTATTGATAATATATTCTTAGAAAATATTCGACTTAATCTCTATATCTCATTAAATAACCGAATTTATTATATCTATACAGATATATAACTTTTTATAGCTTAGTTAAGATAAGGTACTTTCTTATCTTATAAACATGAAAGTTCCCGACTCTCTTTAGACAAGCTGAAATACTATTCATTGGGTGGGCCTATCTAAACACATTGACGCCTAGCCTCCAAGTTTCGTTAATCATGGCCCCTTTATATCCATTTTGATTCCGGCGCTTTCTTTGAATTTGAACGGTTGATCCTTGAATTGGAACGATTAATAGTTCCATCACCAAGAGCCGCCCACCGTTTTCCAGCTGGTCGTTCACGAGAGGTAGCGTTGTCCGGCTTGGGAGAACCGTTTTTACTGGTTTTGTCTATTTCTAATGGCGCGGGCGGAAGGACTTTGCCATCATCAGTGTTTTGCAAATATCGCCGGCTATTTTCTCGCGTTATCATGGTGAACATGGGTCGCAGATCTTCTTCCACAGCTTCTTCCAGTGTCGATTCCGTCGGAGCTGGGGATCTGAAAGGAGAGCGGACAGCAGCAGAAGCAGGGGTAGATGGCCTTTGTGTTAATGGGCCGACGCTGTTTTTGTTTGACCCAGTAGCCTCGAGCCTCAGTGGCGGGGGTGCTAATGCCCTATTAAGTGGACTCCGGCTCCTTGCTGCTATTGCTGCAGGAGCGAGAGAGAGCCGTAATCCAATCTGGACAGTAGCACTGCTCGACGTACTGCTGCCTCTGCGGTGACGTCGTGCGAAGGGTGCTCGCGGTGGCTGAAGCCCTTCGAAAGCTTCACGTACATCAGTGACAGATGGAGCCACCGATGATTGGGTCACCCTGTTCCTCGTACCAAGTGCTCCGGAGCCTCGATAGCCTGGCGAAGGAGGTGTATATACGGCAGCGGGGAGACGGGGGATATCGTCTGCTTGCGTCGGGAACAGAGTATAGCTGGGTGTTGTGCGACTATAGTCCATAGACTCCTTAGAGGATGTTCTGTTGTTCGGAAGGATGATAGGTTCCGGAGGTAACGGCCACGATTTGGAGTTCTGTGCTTGCAGACCAGATGTCTGCGAGACAGGCTCCTGTCCATTTGTTCCCGGTTTTTCCGAGTATGGGTTGTAAGGACATCCATAAAATCCGGCCTTATCTGGCATATAGCGTGGCGTGTCATTGTCCAATGGCTCACTGATGTTCATCTCCAAGTCGCTGGGACCGAAGAAACCAAAAAACCTCAATGGGTTCTTCCGAGAATGCCAGGGTACGCCACGGGGCTTGATGACTGTACGATCGACATTGACGCGGAGAAATAGATGCATGAATGCCACAGCAACACCAGAGCCAAATAGGCTCACCTCGGCGACGCTGGATGTAGTGAATTTGGTGTCATAGTTGCGCATATAGGCCTGCACGAAGAAAGGCAGAATCAAGGTCTATGATCCTATTAGCAATGGCCGTCTAGCAATGTGTATAAATAGACCTACATGTTCGATAGTGGCAAATACTAGATAGTATACCATCCTTGAGGCTGCTATCCTTTCATGGTGTTCGAACCGCGCGCTGCGCAGTAACCGTAAAGAGATGAGGGTTCCCAGAGATACAAAGGAGAATATCAAGATAGACAGAACAGGAAGAACGAACTTGCGGTAGCTGAAGGCAAACCAAATAAGACTTCCGTAGCACTGGCCTGGAGATTGCCATACCACAGTCGGGATCCAGGTGATTATCAAAAGAATGAATATAACCCCAAGACATATGGGGGTGTTCCATCTCGTCCGAGGTGCGTTTTCTGGCCCTTTTAGTGCTCTGACTGTTGTCTCGATCCCGAACACTAAACTTGTATAGCTGACAAGAAATATTGCTACAAGAATATAAGCATTGAAGCAGCTACTTTCGGTTGGTGTAACTTACCAGGGAGCGTGATTTGTGCATATGCGTCGCAATTTCGTACCGTGACAGTACTGATCGCACTGCCCTCTATTCCAATGAATGTAGTTTGCTGTATGATCATTGCTGCTCCGAGAACGAGCGGAAAGAGCTCTGCCGCATGAACGGCTCTAAGGATTTGGAGTTTACTGGACTAGTCAGACACGCCACTCTCCAATAACTGGGGAGATACTTACGCTGGTCGCAGCAGTACAGTGAGTTTCCTGGCACGCCAACCATCACGAAGTATCCTAGACACCATGATACCAGCGAGGAGCATGCTAAAAACGCCCAACGCGATATTCATAGTTCTAAGCGACATCTGCTGGCTAAGGACCAAATCGTTGACAAGGGCACGGGCTTGGTCGAGGGTCGCCGAAGACTCTTCTAGCACAATAGTGTTGGGGAAGTCAGGAGAGAGGGAGGTACGGCGGCCTAGCCGCCAGCTAGACTCGACCATTGTCGGTGTGTATTGGAAGAACCGCTGAACACCAGCAGCGGTGGAGTGGAAGCAAGTAATTTAGAAAGAGCATATAGAGAGAAACAGAGACAGGGAATGACGAGGAGGCGACGCCAACCAGCTGCCGCTCTCCTGAACCAGTCGGAAAAAGAATCAAGAATATCGGAAAAGTTGGAGTTGCGGGCATCAAGACGGCAAAAGGCAACACGGCGACACGAGACAGTATGACATATCAACGAAGAGGCTGTGACTTGGACGGCCGCAGTGAAGAGTTTCGTGTTAGTGATGCTGTGGCAAGGCGCCAGTCTGATAAATTGCACTCTGATCCGTGACAGCAATACCCAAGGCAGGGACAGGGAAGATAGCTGGTCTTGTTTCCAGCAAGGCGCGTACAGCAAGGCTCGTCCTGTTAAAACGGTGGAATGATCATCTGCCATGACTGCGAGGAGGGCTTTCCCGTCCTCGTCGAACACGGCTCCGACACACGGCGGTTTGTGTGTGTAGTGGAAGCGGTAGCCACATGGGTGTGAAACTGACGGAGAGCTATAACGATTGACATTTATGTTGCACGATGAGACGGAGCATGTGAGAGCGACGTCGACGCGAGCACGCTCCGATCTCGGCTGCGCAGCCATTGAGGCGGCGGCCATTCTAAGCGATTTTTTGGAATCTGGGGTTCGACGACGCTCTGCACCGCAACCGCCAACCCATCCCGCCCGCCATGGCCACGCCCGTTCGCAGTGCTGCGCTGCTGATGAGACGCGCCAATCTGGTGAGCCCTGCTCTCCCCCGCCCTCGCTGCACGCCCTGACTGCGCACAGCTCCGGCTGAGCTCCTCGCGAATCTCCGCCACTCGCTGTCCGGCGCAGCCTCTCCTCCGATCGCGTCTCTACAGCAGTGCCTCTGCTGCCGCCAGGCAGGAGCATGTTTTCCACTCCCAGCTCGAGGATCCCGCCGCGTCTTCCCTGCTCTCTTCGCTGGGCAAACCCCAAGCCGTCCCGCAGACCTTGACCGAGAAGATTGTGCAAAAGTACGCCGTCGGCTTGCCCGAGGGCAAGTTCGTCAAGTCGGGAGACTATGTCACCATTAGCCCTGCTCACTGCATGACACACGACAATTCCTGGCCGGTTGCGTTGAAGTTCATGGGAATTGGTGGCACGCGTGTTGCGAACAACAGGCAGACGGTCATGACGCTGGACCATGACGTGCAGAACAAGAGCGAGTCAAACTTGAAAAAGTACAGACAGATCGAGGAATTTGCCAAGAAGCAGGGTGTTGACTTTTATCCTGCTGGACGGGGCATTGGCCACCAGATCATGGTGGAGGAAGGCTATGCCTTCCCCGGAACGTTGGCTGTGGCATCCGACAGTCATACCAACATGTATGGTGGTATTGGTTGTTTGGGAACTCCTGTTGTCCGGACTGACGCCGCCTCTATTTGGGCTACCACCAAGACCTGGTGGCAGATCCCTCCCATCGCCAAGGTCACCCTCACCGGTGTCCTCCCCCCGGGTGTCACGGGCAAAGATATCATCGTGGCCCTTTGCGGTCTTTTCAACAATGACGAAGTCCTGAACCATGCCATTGAGTTCACCGGCTCCCCCGAAACTCTCCTCAGCCTCCCTATCGACGACCGCCTTGCTATTGCTAACATGACCACTGAATGGGGCGCATTGAGCGGTCTATTTCCCATGGACTCATTGCTACAGGGCTGGCTGCGGTACAAGGCTACAGAGGCGACTATGTTCAATTCTGGAAACATCTTGGAGAGCAACCGCATTTCCCGTTATAACCATGAGCGCCTTAACGAGCTTTTCCAAAACGCGCCCGCTGCCGACCCCGGTGCGACATATGCTAAAAAGCTTTACCTTGACCTGTCCACTTTGTCCCCTTACGTTTCAGGCCCCAACTCTGTTAAGGTCGCTACGCCGCTCCCGGAGCTGGAATCCCAAAACATCAAGGTCAACAAGGCTTACCTCGTTTCCTGTACTAACTCTCGCAGCTCTGATATTGCTGCTGCCGCCCGTGTTTTCAAGGAGGCCGCTGAGAAGAACGGTGGCCAGGTACCGAAGATCCCCGACCATGTGAATTTCTACATAGCGGCGGCATCCAGCTTGGAGGAAACTGCAGCGAGGGAAGCAGGCGATTGGGACACGCTACTTCAAGCTGGCGCTCAGCCGCTGCCCAGTGGATGTGGTCCGTGCATTGGCCTCGGAACAGGGTTGCTTGAACCCGGTGAGGTAGGCATCAGTGCCAGCAACCGGAATTTCAAGGGCCGTATGGGCTCCACGGAAGCCAAAGCGTATCTTGCTAGCCCCGAGGTTGTTGCTGCCAGTGCGCTGAATGGCAAAATCTCTGGACCTGGCTGGTATCAACAACCTGAGGGAGTCCAGGGTGTTGTCCGCGGCGAGGGCGATCTCATTGGCAACACAATCGAGGACGCGCTGGAGAAGCTCATTGCCCAGGCAGACGAGATGATTGCGACAAGCGAACAGTCAGTTGCCAGTCAGGAAAGAAGTGATGTTCCTGCAGCTGAAGGAGCCGAAACTTTGACAGAGATTCTCCCCGGTTTCCCGGAAAAGGTGTCCGGTGAAATCGTCTTCTGTGATGCCGACAACATCAACACTGATGGCATCTACCCCGGCAAATATACCTACCAGGATGACGTCACCCGGGAAAAGATGAGCGAAGTCGTCATGGAAAACTACGACAAGCAGTTCGCATCTATCGCCAAGCCCGGTGACATTTTGGTCAGTGGCTTCAACTTTGGTTGCGGTAGTTCTAGAGAACAAGCCGCGACGGCTATTCTGGCGAAGGACATCCCGCTTGTCGTTGCTGGCAGCTTTGCCAACATTTTTGGCAGAAACAGCATCAACAATGCTTTGATGGGTGTTGAAGTGCCACGCCTGGTCCAGCGCCTACGTCAAACTTTCTCTGGCAGCAATTCTTCCTCGCCGGACTCGCAGCAAAAGATCCATGAGCCACAAAAGAACAAGCAATCCCTCGATTCTCCGCCTCCGGCGCCAGTGAACATTCCGGCAGCAGAGAAGGTGCTCACGAGAAGGACGGGATGGACTTTTGAATGGGATGTGAGGAGGAGCAAGGTGACTGTGCAAGAAGGCGAGGGCGGTGAGAGGTGGAGCCAGAAGGTCGGCGAGCTGCCTCCTAACGTTCAAGAGATCATTGCACTAGGAGGTTTGGAAAGCTGGGTCAAGAAGAGCATTGGTTAATAGCGCATTTATCCCTAGATCGCGAGATGTAAGTTATTTAAAAAAGAATTTTAGCGATTTCTACTGATATGAGGCTCTACTTGGTGATTGGTATCAAACTAGTTTCTCGATACTACAAAAGTAAACTCCTACTCACATGAGGAGGGCAAACAAAAGATATGTCCTCTTCCAATAATCCGCTGCCTGCTTCCTTAGACGGTCGAGCATTGCAGCATCGGCATCCACTGCATTTCGAAGCTGATTCTCAAGCGACACCAAAGGTGATTGTCGCGTGGCTTGCCGCTGAGCTAGCGCTTTTTGCAGGTACAAGACATCAAATAATAAATGAGTCAGTCTGTCTCTCTGCACGTCGTCATTGCTCTTTTCTGCAACAGGTTGATCTTTCTCGGCACCGGTTTGGGAATCATCGCCGGCAATGCTTCCTTCGGCCACTGCCTTTGAGCTACTCCGAGCAGACTTAATGCAGCTGTCCAGTGCTGCGCCAAGCTCAGCAGTCAAAAAGTCTTTTAGTACGCCTACCGCCCCTGCAGACCACAAATCATCTCCGCACGCCACCATCCCTTTATTCAGCGCCATTAAGAATTTGAATGTGGGGACGGACGGCTGCACTGGGAGAGGCGGATTGCCCTCCCACAGTGCCCTAGCCCTTGTCCGATTTGAGCGGAAAAACTTCTCCATGGACGTCATGTAGTTTGACAGTGGTGCGGACACGACCACCGAGGCAACGGAGAGATGGAGGGGCCGCGTGGTAGAAGAGGGAAACCCGGATGAGATTGCGGCAGTGTGTCTAGTTGATATGGTGAGGTTCAGTAGGCGCTGGCTGATTTCTCGGAGCAAGCGAAGGATCAGGATAGCTTTGGAAGAGGAGTCTTGGGAGGCTCCTGTCAAGGTTGCTGAAACGAGATTTGCGACGTCTTCTTGTAATGTCTTATGCGCGGATACCAAGGCCTCGTGTAGAGAATCCTCGAGTGAGCGTGGGTCATCTTCGCTTAGAAGAGCCTGTTTCGACTCTAGGGCGAAGTCGTAGTCATCATCGCCGTCTAGATCGTCGTCCCATTTTGTGTCTTTCATCTCCTTGACCACAGTAGAAGCTTCTTCGATGGACCGAGCCCAAATTTCATATGTATCAATGAGACGGCGTAAAACTGAATCAATGCCATGGCTCCTTTCGACGATAGCCTGCTTAAATGCAGGCGCGCCATTGGTTATGTCAATTGAAGTGGTGGAGGGATCCCACAAGGAGATCGGCTGATCCACCTTGCCCTCTTGCCATGCGGTGAGTGCATCGGATAGTTCGGAGAACACAGCGTTGAGACGACTTGCCCGCATACTGAGGAGAGAGCGCAGATGATCGTTGACAACATCACGAAGATCATCCAAGACATTTGCCGGATCGACTCCAAGATTACGGGTTCCGGACAAGAGCCAGGTATCCAACATCCCTCTTCTGATCTCCAAGACTGCTTTTGGATCTTCTTGGTCTGCCAGTACCTTGCGCAAGTTATCCAGGAAGGTGTTCATGGCTTGTTTCGCCCACGTCTTCGTGAGCTTCTCGGAGTCCGCCTTTGAAAGTTCATCATGTCGTGGCCACGGCGTAAAGTTTCTGACCTCGTCGACTATCCAGCGCTCATGAATGTCGAGGTTCAACTCTGCGATTGTTTGGATTTCTTGGTCTTGCAATAGAGGGCGTGCTTTTAGTTTTACTAGCGCCTCCGCCAAACGCCTTGGGAAAATCGAGTGCGTGTCGTTTAGCGTCTTGACATAAAGCTTCAAGGCTCGTGGCAGGTGTTCTTGCGAAGTGCGCCCCTCCTCAACGTGCCGAGTGATTGATTCAAGGCGGACGTGGTGGAAATGACGCAGAACGTCACTAGGAGTGGAGCTTGTGGCCAGCGAAAAAGCACACATACTTTCCAGAATATCGGCGATCTCGGCCGACGTTTTGGAGAATTGCTTGTCGATACTGTGAAGCAACTTTCGCCGTAACGAGGCCAGCTGGCTCTGGAGAGCGTCGACAAAGGGAGGCACATCTGGGGTCGCGGATAACGTCTTATGCAGGAGACGCGAGAGTACGAGCAGTTTTGCAGCAGTGAGCGTGGAGCGCCTTTTCAGCATGCGACGTATGACCGTGGGACAGCTCTGAAGCACTGCAAGCTGGGCGGCAAAGGCGTATCGCTCCCCGTCTGTGACAGAGCGACCAAAAGTCAGCTACCAACCCTTTCTGGGAGAAGGTTGTCCAATTCATTGACAGACCGTATTTCCGAATATATGTTGACAGCCCGGCATAGTTCTTGCCTATCCTATCCACCATCCGGGAGTTGCACTTCTGTCCCACCGACCCCAGCGTCGTCTCGACATGCTCCATTTGGTTGTCCATTTCTATGATCCGCTCGGCTGTTCCCAGAAGATCACGGTAGCTCGCTCTGCGGGGAGTCAGCTAACTTCATCAAAGCCCGTGGCTGGTCGACTGACCCGACCAATGAGCGGAGCTTCTCCCTGTTCTCGTTGGCATTGCTCCGGAGCTGTTGCTCGAGCTTGCGAACAACCGGCACAGGGTATTGGAAGGCATCCTCCCAAGTGGCGAAGCTACGCGGATCGGGAGCTTCGGAGGCCATGTCTGCAGTGTCAAAGGGACAGAGAGGTTGTGAATGCGGACGGGCACGGGCACCCTGGCAATGGATGGATGGATCAACTAACGTCACCGGAACCGGAAAATCCACGCCTCCGCCATTGTCCTCACCACCGTCAGTCCCAATCACGAAGCACGCTTTCCAGAACATGAGAAGATGGTTCAAGAACATCGCAAGCTACCATTGTTTCCATAAAACCATTATTCGCTCCCCTCGTACTAACCAAGCTAGCACAACCACCACGAAACCAAAACTTTTAGCAGACCCAGTCAGACCTGCATCAACCACTCACTTATCAGGCGTTTGAGAGTCGGTGGTGCCACGTGGCTTCCTAAGCTTAGCCAGACAAATCTCCATTTCGATACGGTCTTCCTCGATCCGCAGCTGCGCTTGTTCGAGCTCCACCTTGCGCATAGCGATCTCAGCGCGGCGCATGCGGAGACGCAGTTCATTTTCATCGAGCTCGTCCACATCAATGACGGTAGGGGAAGTCGCGTTCGTGGGGCTCTGGCGCGTCGTGTTGCCAGGGAAGATGCGGCTCCGGCCCTCAGAAGTACTAACCGCGGCTGGGGAGGGAGCGAGGAGCGTGCTCCCACAAAGAGGTCTCCGGTTCGGCGCGCCGCCGCTTCCGGCGCGTCGCGGCGGGGGTGAGGCGATGAGAGGAGGTTGCTCAAAAGTGCGAGTGCGCTTGGCGGGCTGGGAGCCGGAGATCTGCATGGTGTTCTCCGGAGAAGGCTTCCGCTTAATCTGGCGCGAAGACAAAACGGGGACTGTGTCGCGTGGAAGATTCAGCGGCCGTGGAGACGTCCTCGGGTACGCCTGGTGCCTGGGAGAAGGAGTCATAAACAAGCCCGGCGTCTGAAGCCTGTTCAAGGCGGGAGTTGTGACGCGAGCCCCGCCTGCGTCAATCAGTCCGAGTTGCCGGAGTTCCCCTGGAAAAGATATCAGTTTTGATAATGGTTTAGCGGATAATGATCTTACTTCGGGAACGATAGCGGAACTCGTAGATGTACTGAGCTCCGTTCTGGCCAAGGAGACCTCTGAACTGTTCGGCGTACTGCGGCTGTTCGACCACTTCAGCTTTGATAGGTCTGTGTAGGTTAGTTATCGTGACCGCCCGTGAAGGATATCTAAGTAACTTACCTGACCAAATGGCTGACATTACCCACTCTGACCGCTGACTTGGGAACAGTGCTACCCAGCTCTTTGCCCTGGACCCGTTCATGGATGGCGAAGTCCTCGTTCTCTTCCTGGAAACCGCGCTGGATGGAGACGCGAACACTGCCCATGAAATCGACGCTGCTTGTCTCACGCCCCGTTTGCTCATCTGCATGATGGTCCGGAGTTAGATTGGGCCTTCCGGGAACGCGCAGGCTGATGTACGACTGACCGACATGAGGTTCACCAAAAGCTAGTTGGCCGTTGTGCCATTCGTCGCCCACCTTGGCCGTGAAGTCCTTCATAACATATTCGTTTCCATTCGGATGGAACGACCTGATCTTGGGGTGAAAGTAGACGTCGGGCTCGTCGTGGTTATCAAGCCAGAGGCGCACCTGTATCCCGGAGGCGGTGAAGTAGTTGAATTGAGGGTAGATCCGAATTACCACTGTGAACTCCTCGTTGGCCTTGGCCTCGACATAGCAGAACCGTACCGGACTTCTGAACTGAGGTGTGTCCTCCGGCTTGGTGTACTCCATGTACCTAGTGCGGCGCTCAACGCGCCGAAGGTAGACCTCAACTTGGTTCTCAGCAAGGTTTATCATGGTGACCGTGTGGCTGTCGGTTATTGCGATCAGGCGACGGAGGTGTTGCGGAGAACAAAGTGGTTTGGCGTCAGTCGTTGACTGAGATTTGAACAGTCCAACTGTCGACGGGCAGGCGTGATGCCGGGATGTAAGAGACAGGAAGGAAAGGCAGGAGAAGTAGTAGACATCGCTCACACGGCCTGACGTGACTAAACCCAAAATGGAAAGATTCTAACCACGGCGGATCTCCAGGTGTGAAAGACGTTGACTTCATTCTTAAACACTTTCGGGTTCCTCTGTTGCGCCTACACGGAGATGCCGAAAATGGGGAACACGGGGCACACGCACCACCGGTGAAAAACAAGCACTGCGATGACAGGTTAACATCGAGATGGCGGCTCGAAACGCACAGGGCGAACCAGGTTCATAGGACTGGAGATGTAGGTTCCGGCCGCCCCTACTGATTGCCGTTGATGGGGACATTTGAAGTACTAAGGAGATCAATTATGCCAAATACCGATAACCACCCTCCATTTCTTATTCAATCGTCCCGTTAACCATTCACCGTCCACCGTCCACCCAAGTCCCTCGTCCCAGTTATTGTCCACAACCCTACCCCACCCACCATCCGCATATCTCCTTCTCATTCGCCAAACGCAGTAACAGGTCTAGCAACGGACATTGGAAAACAGCACAAAAGCAAGAAGTACAGCCAACGCCTGTCGCGACCCTTTTCTTGAGGCTCTTCCCTAATACGTTGCTTAGCGCAACGACCTATCACCGTGACCTGAAGGGAATGCTGAAAGCAGAAAAAAACCAAGCGGAGAAAGATAAGAAATTGGATTGTGGCTGTGCTGGACTACTCGCACGCTATGCCAAGTATGTAGTAGAAAGTGAAAAAAGGAGACAATGTGTGAAAAGAAGCGTCGCAAGACAACAGTGCCAGGCACCGATGTCCGGACCTGTGGGTATGGTGTAGTAGAGCGGCGCGCCGGGCACACCGACAAGACATTACCAAAGAAATATCGACAATAGGCGGACGTCAGATCAAACATCCTCGTCGGAAGCCCTGCGTGTGTCACCGCGCCCGAATGTCGAGTCGAAAGCGGAAGCTGCTAATGAGCTTCGGAAAGATAAGAAATTCGTCGCGATTGTGCGCTTTCGAGAACAGGCATCAGGGACGTAGAATCGTAAGCGCAGTTACTCATCATCGTCCTTTTCTCCTTTCCTCACGGACCCGGCCGGACTAGGCGGGCTGACAATCGTGACGGGCGTGGGCAACGGTGATTGCGGCCTTGAATCCGAGCCGGTGGGTTGCTGTTCGGCATCTTTGTCTGCTTCCGGTTCAGCGTTGGTTTTCTGCTCGCCATCATCTTCAGCTTTATCCGTGTCCGGTGGTGATGGAGGTGCGGCGGCTTCTTCGGCCGGTTTGGCATCTGCGTCGGGCATTGGGGTGTCGTCATCTTCGGCGCCGGCACCGCCGGCCTCTGAAGCGACTGTCGTACCAACAGAACCGGCAGTTCCCGGCCTGGCATCTGGCTCTTCCTTGATCGACTCATCCGCCGTGCTTCTTTGGTTTGCTCTCCTCCTCCTCCGCCTTTCTCTCTCGTCGCCCGCATTCTCTCTTCTTCTACGGACCCTCAAACTCTCTTCGCGACCAGGGACTGGCGATACTTCACCTTCACCATTGCCACGCATGCTCTGCAACATGAAAGCCGCGCGGTCTGCGATATCCTCGCCTTCGCTCGTGCCGCCCTCGCCGCCCTCGCCGCCAGCGGGAGCAGTGGAGAGGGATGCTCCGGTTCCAGCGTCGTGGTCTTTGTCTTCCGACTCCATGCCTGATGCCGGGCTGAGCATTGCACCTGCTCCGTTGTTGTTCGAGCCTTCTCCGCCTTCGCCCTCGTTCGCGGCATCGTCCAGATCCGGTATCTGCTGACCGCTTGCGACACGCACCTGGTGACGGTCCTTGAGGCGGGCGCGACGGCGACGGTCGCGCTGGTCGCGTGTTTGGGGAGCCGCAGCACGAAGCTTCTCGAGCAAAGTGTCCATTGCGCCAGTGGACGCAGGGGATGGCGGCGCGCCCTCCAAGTTTGGTGAGCGCGGGCCTGCGGCCTGGGCCTTGCGCCGCATAGACTCTTCGTTTTTGCGGCGAGTCTCTTCCCACTGGATGTTTTTCTCCTTGGATTTCTGGAGAAGCCCGTTAGCAATTTATATATAACGCTCAGCGTACGCATAAGGAATTGGAAGTTACTCACCTTCCACTCGAAGACGAAGATAGCCAGCTTGGCGAAGAACTCTCTTCTGGCATTGTCGTCCGTCGGGTCTTCACCGTAGAACGTCATAATGTCATTGTAAGTCTTCTTCATGTCCTCCAAGTAGTCATCCATCTGTTCCGCCTTGCGTCTGGCGTCCTTCATGCAGCGCTGGACAACAATGCTGACGCGATCTTCGGGGTGGAATTTCTTCGGATCACTCAGGTTACCGCTGTCCAAGCTGGCTTGGACGTTTTTGATATTATCAATGTATTTCTTGGCGTCAGTTTGCAGCTGCTCAACGTTGATCTTCTGCGCAGTGATGACGCCAGAAATCTCGTCCACGAAACCCTCCCATTCGGAGTATTGGTTGCGAACAATGCGCTCGACGAGGTCGGCAAAGGTAGATTGGTTCTTGTCGTCCTTGACCAAGCCCAGACGCGCCAAAGAGGAAAGCTTGAAACCATTGGCTTGTTTGTTGTGGTCGTTCATGTAGTTGCCAATGTCAAGAATCAGACCCAGGACATTCATCAATGACACGGAGTCACGGAGCGACTCGGAAACCCGAACGACTTCCTGCAACTTCTTGAAAATATCATCGTACTCTGACTCGTACGTCCGCGTCAGATCCAGCGCACGCATACGAGATTTCCAATAGTGATGCAGCTCGAAAGCGGTGTAGAGATAAATCTGGTCTTCTCTCGTAAGCTCTGACGGATCCTGGTCGCGTGTGGCCTTTGCTGCATCCGGTCCGGTCCAGTCTTTGCTGTATGGCGCCATGAGCTTGGAAACATTCTCGGGGATAACGCAGAGATCGTTCTTCTGCAGGAACTCCATGACAACATCGCTCTCTACGATGATCTTGTCGCAGTGAATGATCATGCGTACGATCTCCTCTACCGAGTATTGATTGAACTTGGCCAACGCAACGTGGAATGTCTTGACCAGATCATTGGAGATGAGCTGTTTCTTGTCACTTTTAACGGATTGCTTCTTGCCAATCGCCTTGACCTCCTTGGCCAGGAAAAGCTTCTCGACTTCGTCAAGGACACCCTTCTTAGACAACTCGCGGTACTTCTCTTCCTTGGCTTCATGCGTCGGTGCGTGCGAAGCCCACATGGTGACTTGCGGCGTATCGACCTTCTCCCAATGCAGTGCCTTGAGCTTCTTCTTCGGGCGTGCCACGGCAAGGCCAATCTTAGGCGCAGAGAAACCAGCCTGTGGCAAGAAGCCAGGACCGCGCCTTGCACCAGGAAGCGGTGGCGCTCCAGGAGGCGGCGGTGGTGGCGGAGCTCCGCCAAATCCAGGTGGCGGCGGCGGGGGCGGTGGTGGAGCACCTCCAAAGCCAGGCATAGGGGGAGGGGGAGGGGGAGCACCTCCACCAAATCCAGGCATAGGAGGTGGTGGAGGAGGAGCGGCACCGCCAAATCCGGGCATAGGGGGAGGCGGAGGAGGAGCAGCACCACCAAATCCAGGCATAGGGGGCGGCGGCGGCGGTGCACCACCAGCGAAGCCCGGCATTGGGGGAGGCGGTGGAGGCGCGGCGCCTTCGGCGAACCCAGGCATCGAAGAACCAGGCGGGGGCGGCGGAGGCGGTGGAGGTGGCGGACCGTCGAACTTCTGAGCTCCATCAGCCGGCACCTTTGCAGCCTCTTCTCCTTCACTCGGCTTCGCAGTTGCACCAGCAGCACCCTCTTCGCACGCCTCGCCTTCGTCGTCGCTTCCATCGAAACGCTTGACCTTGGAAGAGATCTCCCCCAAAAATCCAGCAGCCTGTTGCGAGTTCATCTTCGGCCGTCTCATCTGGACAAGGCGTGGCTTCTCGTACACCATATCATCACCGTCCTCGTCCTCACGTTCAGTCTCGTCAACCAAATCACCTTCGGTGGCCTTTCTCGCACCCTTCGGCACGGGTTTCCGGGAAACAGAGCCAAGGAAGCTGGTGGCGTACTCGCTGCGGCTGAAATCTTGACTGCGCTCTGCTTCTTGGTCCTCCTCGCCGCCTTCCATCTTCTCGCGCAGCTCGCGCAGCCTGTCAGAAGGATCAACGGCTTGCCATACCTTGCCCTCGAGCTTAGCCTGGGTCTTGGCACGCTCAAGCTGCATCTCCAGCTTGTCCATGAGCTTCTCACGGTCGAGGATACCCTGCATGAATGTGGGGTCCGTGGCCGCGAGAGGAGTACCGTCAGCCTTGGTTTTGTTTGCGTGCGAAGCGGCGACATCCTGAGCATCGCGAAGCATGAGATAAAGTTCTCTCGTCTCAAGTTCGTTGCGTTGGAGTTCCTTTGCGCGAACAGTCTGGAGATCCATCATCTCGGCCCTGAGCTGTTTGATTTGTCTGCCTCTCAGCTCAAGCAGGGCTGTTTGTTCCTCCAGTTGCTTTTGCAACTTGGCCACCATTCCATCGGCGCCAAGTTCAATCTGGGCTCGCATCTCATCACGCTCCGCAATTGCAGAATCGGCTATCTGCCGTGCTTCGATGGCTTCATCTCTAGCTTGTCGTGCCTCAGAGTCGGTGTACAGCTTGTCCATCAGACTCTGCACGGTGAAATTCAGGCTCTGCTTGAGGTCCATATCCGGCAGTCTGCGGTCCATGGCAACATAACTAAGCATAGAGTCGACAAGCTGGAACATTCGTAAGCGGTCCTCGCCCTCGTTGTCACGAATGAGCAGCAGGTGCTGCATGGCGGAGATGAAGTAGTCTTGTGACCTTGTGCCGTTGATCTTGCTCGAGATAGCCTCGACAATCTGCGAGGGGTCATTCAGGTCCTTGACTTCGCCGTCGATACCATCCACCATACTGTTGTTCTCCCTTTCCAGGAGATCCTCATAGTCGATGGCCTCATTGGTTCGGTACCGCTCGATTTGCTTGTCAATGACCTCGTACTGGAAATCCTCCATCTTCATCAGGATGCGCTTGATGCCGCATGCTGTAAATTGGGCGCGGAGGTGCACACGCATCTGGAGGTCCCTTTCCGGAGCATCAACAATCATGTTGACGAGGAACAGAGACGCAACAGCGTATTCCATGAGCAAGTTTTCGAAGCCAATGCCACCGCTTCTGACCTCGTCGCTTGCACCGACCAAGCTGCCCATCTTGCCGCGTCCGTCAACCGTGACTTCGACAATACGCATCCAAGCATCGAATCGTCCATTCTCTCCGTTCTGTGTTTTGAGGTGGTCCAAAGCTTGCAGCACTCTTTCGTGTCCTTGTCCATTGGCCCAGTGGCAGAGGAAAGTGAGCACTTCACTGACCAACTTCCTCGTGTTGAGACGGGGAGACGTGAGAGAGGCGGCGAGCGCGGTGATGATTTGCGGGTACCCCAGCGCGTTGTCGGCACCGTATTTGTTGTTCATGAGCGCCTTCAAGCACTTGACAATGTCATATTCACGATCGAGATCCATTTCCTGGCTGTTGGGCCCGGCGGCGGGTTGTGGTCCTTGTCCCTGTCTCCGGTTGATTTTGTTCAAGACATTGGTCAGCGCGATTTGGCCCTGGGACTCGACGAAAGCCTTGACCCAACCGATCGGCTGCGTCCGCAAGCTGACACTCAAGCTCTGAAGTTGCTTCGCCGTGATCGAGTTGTCCAATACTTTTCGCACGTACCACTCCGGGCTTCCCTCTTCGTCAGCGCGGCCAAGGATGCCTTGTCCGTCGACGCTAAACTGCGTCTGTCTGGCATTCTGTCGTCGCCGTTGCTCACCTTGCCATTCTGCCAGTCTGTCTTGGTGCACCAACGTCCACTTTTTTGAGACCGGGTAGGCTTCCATCTGCCTGCGCGCCTGTTCCGGCAAACTGTTCCAGCCGCGCTTTTGCATGAGCGTCATGAACTCGTGTTCGATTTGCCTGTCGTCGGTGGGGCGCTGCATGTTAAATCCGGTGGGGTCGAAAGAAGCTGTCGAGTTGAAGGCTGAAGAGTTGTGAGAGCTCAGCGGACCATTCGGATTGAATGTCGGCAGGAGGGTGTGTCGGTCCAAGCCGATGGAAGAAAACGTACTCTGGGAAGGATTTGGCAGGGAAATCATGCTGGCCTTGTCGCGTGCGCCCGAGTGGTTGGAGTAGACGCTTGCCTGATCCGACGACGCTCGAGTATTGTAAGAAGAGTCAGTACTGTAGTGACCGTGGCTGCTGGGGGAGTATGGCCGTCCGCCGGACGTGCCCGGCCGTCCACCACCCCACTGCTGGATGGACACGCCCCTGTCGCCGGGCGCGCTGGACGCCATGGCGGCCCCCGAGGCGTGTGGCGGAGGCCGGGGCGGCACGGGATGCCCATGCGGCGGCGGCGCCGTCATGTTGAAGACGGGGTATTGGTGAAAGTCGGCACCGGGCCTGTTCAGGTGGTGAGGTTGTGGCGCGCCCCGAGTCGGCGGCCGGTCGTCCCTGGGGAAGTGGTCGGTGGAGGGGGAGCGGGTATCGAGAGGGACGTTGTCGTAGGGTATAGTGGTGAGGACGCCGGCGCTGTGGTTGATGGAGTCGGGCAGCATGGAGAGGGGGCGGTCGATCGAGGCCACGGAGGAGCGGTGCGAGTGCAGCGAAGCCTGCGAGTTGGCGACGCTTTGAGGCAAGCTGGGCGTGTCCGGGACGGGCTCATTGTCCCTGTGCTTGCGGCGCGAGAAGAAAGACTTGCCGCCGGACGACTGGCGGGACTTGGCATCCTGCGCGGGCGTGCTGGCTGGCATGATGGGCGAGAGAGAGTCGTCGTGATGCCCCCGAGGGGTGGCAGCAGACGCTGCGGGTTGGGGCGGCTCGCAAAAGTGTAGGAAAGGGTCGAGGCGAGCGTCGGGAGCGTGTGCGCGTCTAGTCGGGCATCGTCGAGGCGGTTTGCCTTTTCGTATAGGGATGCGCAGAGAAGAAGAGCGGAGGTGCAGCACGGTGCTGCCGCTTGGATGCTCAGAGAGGCCCGTTTCAGGGGGCCTGGGCGCCGGCGCCTTACTCGTCACGGCGCGTACGGTATCGACCTTCGACACCACAAAACTAACTAAATGACCATCATGGGCGGCCTGTCGGCTCTCCTCAAGGTGCTACTATGCAGTACCTACCGTCCTTCCACTGCCACCCGCTGACTCCCCTACCAGACCGTCTTCGTCCCCCTCGTCGCTGCCGCCCTCCTCTATCTCGTCGTCACCTACGCCCTCCTCCCCCTGCACCGTCGCTATGTGCGCAAGTACCAGCACTACCTGCCTCTCTCCTCGCTCGCCCCCGCATCGCTCGTGCCCGACCCGTCCGCGGGCTCGCTGCGCCATCGCCTCTCGGCCCTGTTCGACGCCTTCCGCTCCCCGTCCTATGTGCCCGCCCGCATCCACGCCGCCCACCCCGTCTACGGCGACGACAGCGACCTTGACCTGACCGACGGCGAGGGAGAGGGCATGATCGGCTTCAGCCCCGTCGATGGCCCGAGGCGCGAGGCGCTGGAGCGGAGCGGCCGAGGTGGGCATGCCGGCGCAAGTGAGAGGAGGCTTAGTCGAGACCTCGAGGAGGGCTTCAGAGACAGCAGCAGCGACGACGAGGCGCCGCGCGCCAACATGCTCGGGCGCATCAGATGAAGTCGCTGGCGACGCGTCGAAAATGTTAATTACACTACACTACACCTAAACAATTGTCTGCAGGCTTGGTTGCTGGCATGCATGCTACACACGAGTATCGGATGCCTGGCAGCTTGGGGAGACGAGCCTAGCTACATATGGACGCCACATCCCAACAAGTCTCGTCCCGTGACTGCATTCTTGCTTTGTTTCCCCCCCTCGACGTTGAACCATCATAAACAACTAACGCTCATGCAATCTCGCTAAACATGTGTCATTTCTTTACTATATATCATCATACAAAGAAGCCGTGTTAGATCCCGACGACCCTAGGCCGTTCTAAGCGATCCCCAGAACCTGCCAAACTAGCCATTGTCCCAAATCTTCACGCTACTCCTTGTGCAATTAGGGTATAATCTATTTCTTCTCACGCTGGCCGTAAGCCTTGGTGGCGTAGTCGCCCTTGTGGACAATCAGGTCCTCGGGCTTGTAGTCAAGGCGGCCGGAGAAGTAGCTGTCCAGAATAGCCTTGGTGCCGGCGGCGTAACGCTTCTGAGCATCGATCGAGGTACCGGACATGTGAGGGACCATGGCGTTTCCGCCGCCCCAGGGGTTGGCGGCGTAGCGCAGAGGGTGGTCCTTTGGTGCGGGCTGGGGGAACCAAACGTCACCACCGTAGCCGCGGAGTTGACCGGACTTGAGGGCGTCGGCAACGTCCTCCTTGACGACAATGGCGCCACGGGCGGTGTTGATGAGCCAAGAGCCTGTGCAGATGTCAGTGTATGCTCGGAGAAAACAGCCAGCGGCATTGGCTTACCCTTCTTCATCTTGGAGATGAGGTCCTTGTTGAACAGGCCACGAGTCTTCTCGTGGAGAGGGCAGTTGATGGTGACAATGTCGCACTGCGCAAGCATCTCCTCGAGGTTCTCGACACGACGGCAGCCAATCTCCTTCTCCTTCTCAGGAGAAAGAGGCTGGTAGTCGAAGTACAGAAGCTCCTTGCAGTCGAAGGGCTTCAGGCGGCGGAGGACACGCTCGCCGATACGACCAACGGCAACAGTTCCGACGACCTTGTTCTCGAGATCGTACTCGTTCTTGGCGACGGCGGCGACGTTCCACTCGCCATTGGCAATCTGCTCGTGGGCGGGGACGAAGTTGCGGACCAGAGTCAGGATGGTCATGACGACGTGCTCGGCGACCGAGACGACGTTGGAACCGGTAACCTCAGCGACGGTGATACCGCCGTTGGTCTTGTTGGCGGCATCGAGATCGACGTGGTCGGAACCAATGCCGGCGGTGACTGCGAGCTTGAGGTTCTTCGCCTTGGCGAGACGCTCAGCAGTCAGGTAACCGGGGTGGAAGCTGGAGCAGACGTTGGGTTAGATTCGCAAGCAGGCAAACCGGGGCCAGGCAAACTCACGGCGTGGTAATGATGACCTCAGCGTCGACCAATTCCTTGTCGAAGCGCGAGTTCTCGCCCTCCTTGTCGGAAGTGGTGACCAGAGTGTGGCCCTGGTCCTCGATCCACTTGCGGATGCCGAGCTCGTTCTCCGTCGTGCCGAGGAGCTGCGGCTCCTGCTCGGCGTGGACACCGCCCTGCGCGCACATGACGTCAACAACAGAGAGCCATTGAAGGCGAACAAGACGAGACTCACATCGTAGAGGACCAACAGAACCTTGCCCTGTTGACGCGCCGTGGCTGTTAGCGTTCTGACCCCGGCGGGCTGGTTTTGGCGCAAAAGCGAAGCCCTTCCGCAGGCCAGGCGAGGAGCGGCCGCGGAAGAGAGGAGGGAGGAGGCAGGGCGCGCGAGGCGGGAAGCAGAACGGAGAAATACCATGATGAAAGATGTGTGATGTGTTGCAAGAAGCGTGCGAGCGGCGAGTGTTTATGTAGTCGGGAACTGCGGGCTCGGCCAGGTCAGCGATACTGGGTCCGCTCCGGACGGACAAGGGAACGGGTTACCTGTTTGGCAAAAGCGGCAGTGACGTCGCGGGATAATACTACTCGTAATGGCAGACGGTGGGGATAATGCAAGACGAGATGGGATGAGGGCACATATTTATAGCCGTCTGGTACTCCTCAAGGTCAAGCCATACCCCCCTCTTCGCCGCTTCGGCCAGACTGGCGAGACAGAGCGTCACGGCGAGCAGCCAGTGCTGCGGCAGGACCAGCTTTCCCCACCTTCGTGGCCAGTGGAGAGGGGGGAAAGCGTCAAACAGCAACGCGGCGGGCATCCGTTTCCGGGCGCGCAAATGCGGGGTCCGCGCCAGGTGTCGTGCGGCCACCAATCCGCCGCGACGCCGTCAGCCCATCGTCGTCCCCGCCCTTGGGAGCTATGAACACGCGCGCCCGACGGATGAGGCAACACGCGCGAGTCGGGCGCCGCGCCAAGAGAGCAGCCAAAAGCTTGTCCTCCCGTGCCCAGCGTTTACCCCAGAGCGGAGATAGTTGCCTTTGCCTCGACGCAGGCAAAAGAACCCCCGTCACCAACTCCCGCTCAAGCGCTAGCTGCTGCCCATCTGCCTTCCTTCCGACCCCGAGCCATCCCCGTGTGCCCTCCGCCTTCCGCTTGCCGTCTTGGGGAATGATGCGACGATGCGATGTCGGGGCCACGCAAATCAAGGGCCCGAGGTGTACGACATTGCCTGCCTCGGACCCATGCTGCACGCTGAGATCTGGCCTCTGAACAGATCCCTAAATCCCTCATCATCCAGTGTCGTCGACTTCGTACCTATGCAATCATCCCGGCACCTGGCAGCGGCACCTTGACGTCTCGCAACGTCACTGAGAATTGAGCCTCAACCGGAACGATGGCCGCACCGTTGATGAGTGATCGGGGCTTGAGGCGCCCCTGGACTCCTAAAGCCAGCAACTGCTGACGATTGGCATCCACGTGGTGCCAGGCGATCGATCAGGCCGTTGCTTCACCGGCCACTCCTGCAACTCCCTGTAACTCCGCCAAACTCCGCGTCGCCCCTCCCCCTCCACTTCACGCAAGAACACGGTCGACGCTGAACAACGCACAAATGCCGCAAGCTCAACGAGATTCGAACTCGAACCGAACCCTTCTAGAATCGGGGGCCATTGCCTGCATATTACTGTTTGTTTTTGCTGGGTACTCCTAAGATGGAGGCTCTGCGGCCCGGTCCTGCCTAGGTATGTAGAGATCGATCCGGGCCGGCCACTACGTCATCGGTCAAGATAAGGTGCCGTCGGTTGAGAGCCATGCGCAACTTTCCCTTGTGTTATTTCCGCGGCGCTTCCAATGCCCGCCTACTCCCGATCGATTACCAATCTCTGAGTCCATATAGCTGCTCTCCGTGTTCGTGGAAACCCGTCTCGCAAGTACCGGTTAATGGCAGCTACCTTCGAAGCGGACCCAGTATTCACCCGGACGCGGTTCGGTCTTCGGCTATCGTTCTCCCCGGGGCCAGCTAGAGGTCATCGTTTAGCTCTAAGCTACCATGGTCCATAGATGAGACAACGTGCCCCAACTTGTGTTACACGAACCCCTCGGCACCCTCACGATTGACATTTTGTGGAGCCCCGGGCGATATGGACTAATAAACAATCCCTGATTGTCATCTTCTATTGAATGGCCCGTGAGGCAGCATGTCCAAAATCCACGACCAATGCTCCAAAATCATTGCGAGGCGTTGGAGCAGCCAATAGGTAATATGACCCCCTTAATCCTTCTTTCACCGCATATTGAATCAAGCTCAGCATGCGCTCTTGGTTTTGCTCTCTTCCTTGTCTTTTCCAAAGTAGTTCATCAGAGTATTTGATTGCTCAGGAGCCTTCGTCTTGCTTTTTGCTTTTGGAGATTTATCTTCCAATTTCTTCCCAATTTCTAAACAGGCCATCAGTTCTTCAAATTCGTCAGTCGGTACAATGCCTCCGCTCGCCTCCTTATGACCTCGTGCAAAAGATTCGCCAAGCCTTGCACGTAGCGTCGGATCCGGTGCCTGATTAGCAACGTCACGAAGTACTTCAATGATATTGATGGGTGGTTCGCGAGAACGCGCGCTTCGAGGAACGCGGCAAGAGAAATTGACCATGTCTGGAAGATAGCCCTCGTTGGCTACAAGTACGACTTCCAGTTTGGAAGATGAAAGGAACCCAGCCCAACGCGTGGCGATAACCGGATGAATCTGTGCAGGCGACTCGATGCGAAAGACGGCAATGCGGCCATCTGCGGAGAACTTGGGGGCTGCTCGTGCGCATCGCTCGACTTCAGCGTTGACCTCGGCCCGGGCTTCCTTCAGCCCTTGGTTCCCGAGAACATCCTTAGGGCATGTGGCATTGGTAAGCGCCTCCCATGCTATGGGGACAGAAAAGGCCGCCGTACGCCGTGGTGCATTGAGTAGGGAGATGGCTTCGTTGAGAGCCTTCTTTGTGTACTTTTTGAAAGTTCTTTCCATGTTTGGAAAGGGAGGATCCCACTTGAGCGAATTTCCAAGGTCTCCATGTGTGCCCATGACACACAACCAATCGCATGTGGTTTGAACATCCTCGTGTAAAGCACTGCAGAGGTGGTACGTCAAGAGCGAACTGGTAGCCACTGGTGGGTAATGGCATGCTGTTACATGCTGGGTGCCTTCAGGAAACTCGTCATCTAACGCAAAGTGGTGATCGATTACCAATCCTTTGTGCGGAGTATCAATCAATGGCGGAGCTTTGCGGGAGCCTTGGTCTAGGATAAAAATGTAAGAGGGTTCATGTGCGGCCATAGCCACACGCTCGCTCTCGTCATGAATGTTACGGCCTTTTTGCAAAAGATGTGTGTGGATGAGTTCGGGCTCCAAGCCAAGCAAAGTCAGTGTCTTGAGCAGAATAGCACCCGAGGTAAGACCATCCACATCCTTGTCTGGGACTATCAATGTCTTCTTTTGCGCTTTTACACTGTAAGCTGTTAGCATTGCAACAGGATGGGCTCCATGCGGGGTGGTTCGGAGAATTACATACCATTCTTGTATGAAATTTCTCGCGTCTTCAATTTGGTCTTTTGGAGCGGGCCAGATGATATCCCCAGACTCGTCCTTGAGCGAGGGCGTGAGAACGTATGCTGGTAATGCCGGCCGCGGCTTCTTGGATTTGGAAGGGGATTTGGTTGCCGATGCGGCACGTTTCATGGTAGAAGGGGTTTTTGCGCTCTTCCGGGCCGTGTCTGCCGGAGAAGCTGACGCGAAAAATCGAGCACGAGGTGATGGAGCAGATCGCATCAGCCGTATGAAGCGCGCCTGTGTTTTTGCGATTGAGAACATGAATATCGAGAGGAAAAGTGGTTTTACTTTACGCTGGCCACAGTTGGGGGGAACCTTGAGCCGCAGGGGAGGTGAGGTATAGTGACGATGACGTAATCGATAGATCTTCCATTTTTGTTTACTTCATACTAGGTATGGAGGTCAACAACCACACAGTCTGTAGGTAACGGCATCACCAACATCACCAATAACTGATAATTCAAAATGCAACTCTGCAGTACGGCTCGCTCGGTAGGTACTCCGAAGAGCGAAAGTTGTTAAACGTCAATTAAGCTCCAGCTCAAGCTCTTCGGAAGCGCACCCGGCCCACGGATCCTTGACTGGACAGTTCTCGGAAGATCATCCGTGCATGCACATGCGAGTCAGTTTTTCCAATCCTCGTCGGATGTTCTTTTCAATTAACCATCATTCGATATCGGCATTTGGCTCCGGATAATTTGCTCCTTCCTTGTGAATATCTTGCCCACCCTCAAGTACATAATAGGTACTGTCTACTAGACACTGAGTAGCTATAGCTAGGACAACCTTATGGTCGGTAGTCGGTAAATATTAACAAAATAATATTTTAGAGTATAATATTACTTATGAAGATATAATAAATATATGGAAATAAGAGGGATGACGGGGTCTTATAAAGATTTAAAACCAAAAGAATATGAGAGTACTGAAGTATTCGAAAGAGCGCGAAGACAAGGGTACCTATTCTTTGAGAGTAGGAGAGTACTGTACGAAGGTGACATGGTCCACTCCTTCACTCCACCAAAGACGCCACCCCTATTTTTCACAAACCAACCCGCAATGCTAACAACAAGAGCCAACTATCGCGAAAGAACAATCTTTCTCAGAGGCGGAGGACAATGACCCGAGAGCGAGGATGACGTCACACACATCAGACAATAATTTCCTATCGATAGCAATCGCAGCTCCACTCCACTCCACCGCGCCACTCTATCTCTCTCTCTCCCTTCCTCCTCCATCCCACCTACGTCCTACTTCCT